TGTGACGTAAAAATTAACGTGATCCTAGACTTTGAAAAACAAAAACGGAGTGGTACATTTTTCAACAATTTAAGACACTAAAAAATACTCAAAATAAGGGATTTTGAAAAAAATTTCACGATCCTAGAATTGAACAAAACAAAAATCATTATATTCAACCTTGGAAAATTTTCAAGTTTCGGGTTTCAAATAATTTTAATAATATTCCATAGAATCTTGACCTGAATACCTATAGAATTTTTCGGAAAATTTAAAAAGAATTGAAGTGTTGATATCAACAAAATTTGGAAGATAATTCCTACAAAAATCTTGGAAAATTGGTAAGGAGTTCTGACAAGAACTCTAACATAATTCTGAGATGAAGAATCAAGATTAAGAACCAATGGAATCATACTCAGTGATTAATTGAAAAATGGAATCATACTCAGTGATTAATTGAAAAATAAAAAATAAAAAGAAATTCTTACGACATTTTCATGAAAATTCTAAGGGTTTTCTGAGGAGAATTTCAAGAGATTTCAGAAAGGACTTCCGAAGGATTTCTAATGAGAGTTTTGACTAGAGTTCAAAGAAAACTTTTGAAACGTTCTCCGTGTTACGCTAAGCTGACGGCTTAAGCGCCACCTTTCAAAGAAGGACCGTCAACTCGTTCTTAATTACCCGGCAAGAAACTTCCCTTCTCAGGGCAGGTCACTCAGATGTTGACACAAACGAACTTACTTATTTTGACCCAAACGTCTAAAGCCAACCAATCAGATTAGGATACTCAAATTTAAAAACACCAATTCAAACCGCAAAAATGAAATAATTCTTTAAAATCAACCAAGGGGAAATATGCAATAGTTATTTAAACCCAAACCAATCTAACAAATATAAACATATACAAATAACGTGACGCAAAAGATGTGTGGAGTAACTAATCTAAACTAGAAGTAATTTTTATTTTATTCAATTTAATTGGACGAAACCCGAATATACTAAACTTGAATTTATCGAGCTAGCGATTTATTAATTAAAATTCAAGGGAAATCGAAATTTATTGAATTAAGGCAAACCTAACAGTTTCCTACTGTGACGTCACGTTTCTAGTTCATGTATGTTAGCATATGCATTCAAGATCACATAAAACTAATGTGAGCAGTTTTCGGACAGATCTGACCTGGTTCCTTCAGCGTCCGGATGTCCCGCGACGTTCTAGTACGCGAACTCAAACAGGTCAGGTGGTCACCAAAAGCTTACGCACCAAGATGACTCGCGCGTGGGCAAGTAAGGGGTATAGCAGGCGTCCCCAAGCGTAGTGGAGTGATGAGCTGTAGTAGCGGTTCGCAGTTTACGCCGCACGACTTGGCGAGACGAGTCGTTTCAACTAAGGCTACCAATTGCGCAGTAGCAGTGGTAGTGCGTCGTAGCCGAACGGTTGTGCTACGAGAAAATGCGCAGTAGCAGTAATGGGTGGGCGTAATGGCCGTCCGACTAACAGCCAGCATAAGACGCTGGATGTCCTAGCTGCTTGAAACAGCCCGCTCCAGTTTCGACGATATTTGCCAATTCTAGCACTAGCCAACACAAGCCGATACAAGCCGCCCGCGTTGACTGGGCAAGGAGGGCCTGTTAACGCGGAAATCTCACATAATTTGCTCATCAATTTACTACTAACTAATTAGGCTTACCTGTATTTCAAATTTCACCAACTTTACAATATATCTAGACTAACATTTGAAAGGGGCGGAAGAGCCAAAATGTAAACAAACCATATTTTGCCACATATAGAGAGAATAGTTCACAAACTACTCGATAAACACGAAAATGTAGAAGAAAATATCACTTCAAATCATCAAAAACGTTTCTTCTTACATGGCGTATTTCCAACTTTCAACTCTATGATGCATCTGGTTGTTACGCCTTGCACCAGAACTACGAATTATATCGTTTTAATATGCCAAACGTATTGAGTCTGTAGTATCTAGTCACGCCCGATTCATTTGAAATGCATCCGATTGATAGTTCACGTGTAAACAACGAACAGAAAGGAGACCAAAAAATCTCCGGGCGTAATTCCACTCTCACAAAATTTGCGAACGAAGAACCAAGGCGGAACAACAAACAAAAAATCGCGAGGGTGTACTTCCACGGCGTATCACCAGTGTTGACAGTTCAAAGGGTGGAAGATTCGGGGGGTAACAACATGTATGAAATTATCAGGGTGTATGATGTTTTCTTCTCAATTTCACGACAAAGAGAACTTTTTTTGAGCTTTTAGTGATGCATGATGATAGATTACACTATTAACTATATGTCAAGCTTATAAAATCATCCAGAAAATGGAAAGTCGTGAAATAGGATTAATTTTTAGGTCATCAAAATTCAGAAGCGATTTTCTCGATACGGTCATTTTGGAATTACGCCCTTTTCAAATGTTAGTCTAGATATATTCAATATCAATTTCTATTTTGATCAAAATATGATCCTGCACTCGACAAATTCAAAACTGTGGAAAATTATTTAAATGGATTTAAATCATCAAAATTCACAAACCGCCCGAACTTACTTCGAGTTTAGATGTTGCGCAGTAAATTTCAATCTATTCTCTTTAACTTAAATCAGCAATTATCAACTTCTGATAATTTCAAAGCACTCCACTCAAATGATTCGATAGACGCAGAGTAGCTTGGGTTGTGCCTAAAAACTACTGCGTAATTTCTACCTATTGGCAGATTCGAGAGAATAAACGAAGTTGTACAAGGTGTTAGGCACAATAGCCAAATCTATTGAACTCTCTACGACGCAATGGTTTTAAATTTTAAAAATGGTATCTTAACTGCCGTGTCAAAAACTAGGTGGCGTCTACAAAAGGTGTGTGTCTAAGATAGCATACAGACTGACAGCATGCTCTGAAAATTCATGGACATCCAAAGCTTTCATGAAGCTTATCTTTACTTGTATAGGTAGTACGAACGAACGGGTAAACATTAATAGAAAAATAATAGGGTTCAAAACAACGTTACACTTTGAAAAGAATTTCATAGGGATCGAATACTCAGGATAGTGGATAAATGGAATTCTAAGGACAATTCCATGGAAATTCCTATGAGAATTGCAAGGGAATTCGAAAGCGAATTCTAAAGTATTGAAAGAAGAGTTTTCTGTTAGTTTTGACAAGTATTTCACAGTTGTTCTGGAATTAACGCGATGGAAAATTTAATAAGAATACTGATTTGGAACCTTAAAAAATCTAATCAAGGTATATGTTATGTTGAGATTCAATTTTCATACATATCTTTTTTTGTACGTGTGTTAAGATTTATTGATTTTTCCCAGTTATTTAATTTCTATATCAGCAATGAAGAATCTTTTCAGTCCTTGATATAACTTGTAATGCAACTTGGGCTTCCTGCGGTTTGTCTGGATACGCCGATCGCAAAGGTATGATACAATAACACATCAAATAATCTCACGTCCAAGTCTAAACGATGAAACACTCTTGTTTTTGTAGCCCTTTTCCAAATTCGCCAGGCTGGTAGTAAGCACGAAACTGATTAAAAGTTTTCCACATTCCCACCATTTCACGTACACTTCACCAAAATAACATTCCAACGAAGTGGTTCACTAAGAGCACCATCCGTTTGACCGTCCATAACCACCAACTAAGCTCAACGAACGATGGCAGCAAAGAATATGAATATAGTTAACCTTTGACCTCTCTGCTGTATGTACTGTGTTGTGATATTACATGACAGTTACAGAGATAGGTCTCTTTATATTCATCGCAGAATAAACATTTGCTTTCATCCAACATGGCTCCTGGTTCGGGCTACCGGAAAGGGGACAACTACAACGAGCGAGCTTTTTCACGTGGGAAGGACAATAAAAGCTCCGACTTTGGCGAACGTAGCTGTGTCGTGTGGTTTGCTGATGATAAGAAAAGCTAAGCTTGGGAGGTCATCAGTAAGTGGAAGCTTGTTAAAATTGAGTTTATTAGCGAATTTAAATTGCAAATATGTGTTTCGCAAGATCAAACAAACTAAGGGTCATGCTTGGTCACGTTCACAAAGCTGAAGAACTCGTCATCTCTGATTGCATCATAAAATCAGGCCACACTTGCTGGCAACTGGAAATCATTTTGATATGAATTTTTCACTCAAGCCCGATTTAGAAGCGTAGGAAAAAAAATGGTTGAGTTATTAAAAACTAATCAAATGCTCCTATCTAATCCCATCAAATAATCTTCGCGCTCCACACTCTTAACAAAACAGAAAAACCTTTGAATTTCTCACGATTAGCGCGTGAGTCAGCACTGTTTCCAGAAAACTACTTAACCGGCCACTTACCAGCACCCAAAGTTGGCACTTGACCAAAGTAAATGGACTCGATGTTATTGCTTTATTGCTATACGAAAACATACCGCGCAAACATTCAGTTCAACCTCACTTACGAACTTACTGTACTTTAAAAGTACACCCCTTCGTATCTTGGTTTTTGTATTGTTCAACTTTATGTCAGCTTCCGTCCCTATTCTATCCCTATAATTTCATTGCGTTTTGCAGCTCCTCCTCCAAAAACATCACCTCTGACCGCACACCGAGCATCGCGCGATGCTCTATGCTACCGATTGAGGTGTGGCGCGGTCACGGTGATTGTCACATGCCGGCTCATTCCACGAACCATTCAAAAGACCCCACGACGACGACATTTTCGATGGGAACCGCGGTGCGGTGGGTTGGGAAATTAATCCACATTTCGTCAGAGATCGTCATCTTGGCCATCACCGGCGGTTGCCATCATCGTTAGGCGTGGAGAATAATTACCGGGTGGACGGGTTGATGTGGGCTACGTTATTACGAGGCACTTTTTAAGAGGTTGCTGCTTGGCACTTTTATTGTTTCAAAACGACCGAAAAGAACACTGCTGCACAGTGCACACGTACTTACCTAGCTCTCCCACTCTCGGACCCGGGCTGTGCTGGATTAATGAAGATACACGTTTCGGAGCATACGTATGCACTTGACGGAAGAGAGCCGGATCGTAAGGAAAATACGTGAAGTTGTATGTTCTCTATTATGACAAGCTTGTTAAAAATGAGCTTTTGTGTGTCACGTACTTATCACGGTGGTGGGAGGCACTTCGCGAAAGACTTCCTTTAACATTATTCCTGGCCTTGTTTTGCGATGTATGCTTTTACAGTTTTAGCTGACTAAAAATTTGAAGGCTTTAAAAAGTCACACCGGATTTTAGGATTACTTTTTTTTCCTAGCCATCCAAACCTTCCCTACTCTTTGCTTTCGATCAGTTCACTCGATTCATCCTGAAGCAACCCAATGCTAGACGTTTTCATCGAGCCAAGCTTATCAACACCCTTGATAGTGGTAATCACATCGCTTCCGGACACATTCAGCTTAGACTTCACCAGCAGCACATCCTTCGAATCTGTGGTACAGGCTTGGGCTTCCGCCAGAGCAGCAAACTCATCCGGCCGAAGGCTTCTCAGCTTTGGCACCTCCGTAAACCAATCGCCGATCAATGCTTCCTCCACCGTCCACCGAATGATCGGATTCGGTTCCAGCAGATTCGCGATCAACGATCTGACCTGATCGGAGAGCTTGCTGCGAACTTTCGACCGAAACTGCCAATTCCGGGACATCTGCGCATCGTAGACCACCTTGGTGCGACCTTTGAACGGCATCGACTTATTCAACATCACGTACAACAGCACCCCGTAAGCCCACATGTCTGAAGCCCTGGCTTCGTACGGTTGTCCCTTCAGAATCTCCGGAGCCGCATAATCAAACGATCCGCAATACGTACGGCTCAGCTCGGCCAAGCCATCCTTCATAACGTGCCGCGCAAATCCGAAATCGCTCAGTTTTGCGTTGAAGTTCGTGGTGATCAAGATGTTTTCACACTTCATATCCCGGTGAGCGATCCCAAGCTCGTGCAGATACTGTAAAGCCAACGCCACCTGTCGTCCCCAAATTCGCGATTGATTTTCCCCTATCGGTCCGCGGGCCAAGATGAACGTCAGCAAGTCGCCCATCTCGGCATAGCGCATGAAGATGAATATCTTCGAGTGACATTTCAGTATCGTGTGCACTCGAATGATGTGCGGGTGACGGATCCTCAGCAGGACTGCTAGCTCCCTCGGTAGAAACTTCTTTTTGAACTTTGAACTGCAAGATGTGGTGTCGATCAATTTGCATGCCAGCTTTTCTACACCAGCCGAATCTTTGGATGCGTACTCCGTTAGGTAGACCTGAGGAGGAAGGCAACCGGTTGAAGTATAGATGTGAGATTGTCAGGACTATTTGACGCACCTTGGAAAATGTCCCCTCACCCAGGCGGGCGATAAATCGGTACCCTAAAGTTTTGATATGCTCTTGTGCTGACTTTTTTCCGCCGACGGATTCTACTTTGGAACACATAATTTGGAAAACATGTCTAAAGAGAAGGCAAATTTTGACAGAAATTCAATTTACGTTTGTCATCAGAGAGCGTAATTTGTTTACGAATGTGGAACAATCGGTGGCATACTTGGATGCCACATTGTGCATCTAAAAGGTGGGTAAATGTAACCCGATTATGTCAATCCACAGAGCCCCTTCGGGGGACGGACGGACGTGCCCTTGAAGGCATCGTAAATCACGATACCCCATCGTCATTGGACGTCCGTTAGTGTTGTTACCCTGCATAATAGCCTCTGTCATCGGTAACATTGAAATCCATTCATTCATGCACCCGTTGAATGAAGTTGTCACATCCGGATGACGGTCCCCTCCGGATCTCGCGTGGATATCACAAAGAGCACAGCTCCAATGCCATTCGACGAGGCCTTATTGCGCTTTGAAGGTGAATGGATCTCCTCTCAAATGCAAACGCAGAAAAAAGAAGAAGACAAGCGAACACATTCCATGAATAGACTAGCCTGAGATTTCCCATTCAAATGCTGCTCTCTTTTGAATTGTGGGACTCTGGATTGCTTTCATGCATAACGAGACTCACTCAGGGCATTATGGGCCGCAATGATCAAGGAATAATTCTAAAGCATGGCGACGAGGTAAAACGCTAAATGCCATTTGAGAAGGTGTAGTCTGAATGTGTGCTGAATGCTTGACAGTGGAAAGTACGAAAGCATTTTTACTCCTCTATGGAGATGAATTCGATTGACTATGTCAATATTGGGGTGATTTACTGCTTTTGGGTATGGGTATTAAAAATAAGGATTATCTTAGATTAAACAAAATGATGAAATTGGAAGAAAAGCGGTTGTCTGTTATCGTTTAGGGGAAAACTTTGTTATGAATGTAAAACTATAGGGGAAATGCAGGTAATGTCGGCCTAAGTGTCCCTAATTTGGGCCCATACATAAATTCAGTAATCGACTAAATTTTCAATAGCAACCAAAAATATCCATTAGTAACGTCCCAATAACGCGTTCATCTAGATAAAATTGATAAATAGCAGATTTTTAGCGATGGGCCCAATCTTAGATCCATAGCCCAAAATTAGAGACATTTCCCCAATTACAGGGTTTCTAAATCAGTGGGTCGTAGATATATCGTAGGAATTTAAACAACTTGTTTTCCAAATTTTATGGAAATTTGATTTGAACATTATGTTTAGTTCATCAATATTGAATTAAAATAAGGACGAAGACAACATATCAAGAAGACTGACAGCAACTGCACTATGTATGTATGTATACGTAAAGGATACCACTCATTGTTGCAGGACACAGTCATATGACTTGATCAAGTGCGACACCTGGTTGTATTCAATTTACCATTGTATGAAGGGCAACAAACGGAGGGTGGACCCATAAGCAGAGCCACTTACGCGTGATCCACGTGAGCAAGAAGAATCTCCTTCCAATGATAAAAATGTCCCATCGGTACTTAATAAATTTATATAATTTTATGCAAATATGTAGAATATAAAAATATAATACAGTCAACTCTCCACACCACGATATTCTATAACACGATATTCTATAACATGATATTTTCTATGACTCGATAGATTCTGTGGTCCCTTAATTTTCCCATGTATCGTACTCTACATAAGTCGATATTTTTACAATTGATGCTTCCTTTGGTCGAAGATCTATGTAGCGTTATTTTGTTCCTTATTTTGAAATATATCAAGCAGGTTATATTGAATGTTCGAGGCGGATGCTGGGTTATTAGGCCGAAGATAAGTAGGCTGAATGGTTACTAAGCCGAACGGTCATTAGACCGAGTGGTTATTAGGCCGAATGTCCATTAGGCCAAATTGTGGAAAATTATTTCTAAGCATTTGCGACGAAAATTTGCTGGTTTGAAAAAGGGAATAACCAGCAAATAATAGAAGGAAAAATAAGGTTATTCAATATTGGACTCAAATCGCTCACAATTATTCCGTCTCATGTCAGGAAGAAGAAGAAGAATAGAAATTCAGGATGTCTACTACCTTGTAAAACCTAAAAAACCGGTCATCTTCAGGAAATTTTATATTCCTTGGAAAAATCTGGAATTCTCGAGGAATTTCATCATTACTCAGATTATTTTCATATTCTCTTACTAAGATTTTTTTAAAGAATATAATGCATTTTATTATGCAGGTATTTAATTTTCCTCATGATTTTCTTTCATCTCATTGAACTTAAATAGATCCTGAGCAAATGTATCTTCAGTAACACAATAAATTTAAAAAATCAAAGGCTTGAATTTTTAAATTTGTGTATTTTTTTTTAATTGTGTACTTAAACATAATTCAGGGTGTCGACTCAATGAAGAAAACCAAATTCCCTGATATTCCAACAATAAAAAAAAAACATGTTCAGTACCTACCCGTTTTTGGCAACACGGTCTATAACATTAGCTATTACATACTTTCCCCAGATATGTACTAGTACAGTACTAGTACTAGTATTCTCTGACAATTTTGTTGATGAAATACCACATGGACAACTAGCCCATGAAGAGCGGTTCAGTAAAATCTCAAATTGAATAAAGCAAAGAATGCAAAAAACCATAAATCACGTGTTGCCAAAAACGAGAAGGCACAACATTTTTCAAAATTCACAAATTTAAAACGTTGTAAGCGCCAGGTGATCAGTGCAAGCAGTAACCGGGATGCTACTATGATTGATAGTGATGTGTGCAGGAAACAGTAATCATCTTGATATAAATCAGCAAGTTCATGATAAGTTGCTAACCTCGATTTACTTTAAGAAACGGGAAGAATATATCTGCCCCTCGTGTTATACATATGAAACACTTGTTTTTAATCCCATTATATTTGTTTTGTTTTCGGCACATTTTGAGACCCAGCTCCGCAAGAACATTATTCCGGATAAGAGGCTTAACCAAAAGCTAATTCACGGGTGGATTCCTCCAGTGGGAAATTGTAGAAATAGCACTTTCACCTCCAAAATTATGTTAGTTAATTTCATCTAAATTGCAATAGCAGCAACACTACAATGCTAAAACTTCACTGAGAAGCTAATTTTACGAGGTTCCCAATGAAGACCTAGACTACTCAATAAAGCCACTCTATGCTGTCAAGGCAATGAATCAATGTCGTATATTTGAATCATTATTCAATCATAAAATGTGCTACTCCAAGCAATTGACAAAATCCTCCCAAGCCCAATGTCGAAAATTCACATTTAATTAGTTCTCTGAGCTAATCAAGCTGTTAAGAACACCATAAGGAACAATAATTAGAAGTATTAAAAAAAAGTAGAAGAGTCTGTGTCTAGGGGCACGAAAGGAAGCTTGACGTAGGACCGCTAGTGGACGGAACAAATGTGAGTTCTTTTAATTGATCAATCATCAATTATCTTAACCCTTTCCGTTTTTTATTTGTAAGCGTATCAAATTTGTAGTATTTATTTCAAAGAGAAAGTTGATGAAGAGAATCCATGGGACTATCAACTTGAGCATTTTCGATTCATCTACCCGACTTTAAAAGGTGTATTTTGATTTTTTTGTTACTTATGAATTTTTAAGTTTTGTGCATTTTGGTATTAAAGTGTATTCAATTCACCCCTCACAGGATTTCCTTCCGAATTATATGAATGGAGCGGGGCGGAAAGTATCGTTTGTGCAGACTATGTAAAAAAGGAGGGACTTCGAGATATTGAACTCGTGAGAGGTAATTTTCTCACAAATTTGATTTTATTGGCTTTCTGGGGCTGAATATACACCCAAAGCGAATTATTCCCACTTCTCTCAAATTCTATATGGATTTTTAACACTTCCTACCAGCGTGTTCTGGAAAATGGTCGGACGATGATTAATCTCACCAATACATTCGGGCCTACAATTCCACACCTTCTATAGAGACCAGGTTGAGCCTTGATAGCTAGCAAATAATACTCTTTAACAAATTTTTGGTGGCTCTGAAAAGGACCGTTTTTTAGTGATGGTTGAGTAATTCTGAGCTGGGTGTTCAACACTTACTACTCTCTGACGACTGTGCTGGGGAAGCAGCATATGCATGTAGGTAATTGGTGGATTTGTTAGTTAATTCGATGCTTTTTGACAATGCTGGACATTTTACAGTTTTTCAATAGTTTCTTGTTGAAAATCAACATTCGGAAGCATTGTTATCGATGCGTAGCCATATTTATGATCGATTGGTGATAAAATTATTGAAATTGGACCAGGGCAGCTGAGTTCTTAACGTTCAAAATCTTTCCTAATTTGTTACATGTTCCATTTTCGGTTTTCACAAGGTGTACCCCCATATAGAAATCAAAAAAACGTAGTCCTACGTCAAAAAATCATCATCTTCTCTTACAGCAGGGTTTGGACAAGGCAAGTTAATTGATCAATTTAGTTAAAACCATGCAATTCAACTGACTTGATCAACTCAGAAAAAAGTTGAACCAGACTCAACTCTTCAAGCCAACAGACTTCAACTGAGTTGATCAATGACTTGCCTTGTATAAACCCAGCTTAACTCTTTACCATTCTTGCATTTAGTTAAAGGCACTCCAATGCACTCAAAGGATTCAACTGAATCGAGCAGACGCGGCAATCTACTCGAAGGTTAAATTATGTCAGATGCAATTAGGTGTAGCATCTATTAAGAGCTTCCCATTTGAAAGTTAAATTTTGCAACAACTAACAACGTTTAGCTTCTGACGGATTTCACGCCAACTCGTCTTCGGAGTTGGCAGCACCCTCTCAGAACCTTATGAAACTTTGTGGGTGTGGAGACTTAGCAATTTTAAGCAACTTTGAGTACTTATTTTTTTCAAAATTTATCTCGCCTAACATTTGATAAGGGTCAAAGTTTTTTGTCGATTTTTTTTTCAAATCGATATAGCTTAAAAATGACAAGCCCTACAAAATAGTGATGTATGGCGAACTTTTAGCAAATAATCTGAAATTTTATAAAAAAATTTAAATAAATTAAAAAATTGGTTTCTACACTCTAAAAAAATATATTTAAAAATTAAAAG